CAAATTTCGAGGGATCATCGTGGTGAAGGGGCAAGTACCGGCAGTGACCATCCTCACAGACATCTCTCAGGTCTACGACCTGGCCCTCGAAGATATGCATCGCTCCTGGCCTGGGGACCGGCGGTGCTGTCGGCGCTGACATTGGAGGAAACGAATAAGTTGGCATCGGCATGCCGCGGCCGACACCACCCTGGTATGCCGGAGGGCGCGAGGCAAACTGATTTTGCGAATCCATGATGAGCGCTTGGCAAGTACAGCACACAGAGAAATATAGAAATGCAAGAACAAACGCACGCATGTAGTGTGAAGTGTATGGTGGGGATTGGGATTAGGAGCAGGGACGACCAGATCACTAACCCGAAACAACTCGATGGATGATGCTACTTCCTTGAGCTGTAGCTGCGGAATGCCCCACGATCACGCAACAACTTGACTTTCCTTTTCTCTTAAGCTGTACATCTGTACGTCCCCGTCCTCCTAGCCTCCCCCCCCAGGTATCCGACATCGTGATTTTTAACGGCGTGGCCCCCCTGACCTCTCGACCCCCTTCCCGGGGCTGGCTTCTCATCCTGGATCTCTCTTTTTTGGCAGGCCCTGGGGCCCAGCAAGGGCTCCCAGAGGCCGCCGCTTGGCAACAACCGTCCGCCGGGATGTTCCCCCCCCCCCCCCCCCCTTCGCCCTCCCCCCCTCGCCATCCCTCGCCTTCTCGCCCTCCCCTCTTTCGCCCTCCCCCTTTCGCCGTCCCCCCCCCGTCGCCTCCCCCCCCCCCTTTCGCCCCTCCCCTTTCGCCCTCCCCCCTCGCCGTCCCTCGCCCTCTCGCCCCCCCCCTTTCGCCGTCCCCCCCTTTCCCCCTCCCTCTCCTCTTGCCCTCCCCCCCTCCCTCCCGCCCTCTCGCCCTCCCCGTTGTCGCCCCCCACCCCTCTCTTCCGCCGCCGCCTCCTCTTCGCCCTCCCCGCCTTCCTCTTCCGCCGCCGCGGCCGCCGCGTGGCCGCCCCCCCCCCCCCCCGCGGCGAGGCGGCGGGGCGCCGCGCGCGGGCCGCCGCCCCGGCTCTGCCGCGGAGGAGCGCGGCCTGCGCCCGCACGCGCGCGCGCTGTGCCGAGGCCGCGGGCCCAGGCCTCCCCGAGGCAGGGGCAGGAGATCACGATCGTCAGATCCTGGCGGCCCAGTGTGTTCGAGCCGGACGTTCTCTCGCCCCAGTTTCGGGCCCCGGGGCCCTCACGGATGGATCGGGCTCGAAACATGGCGTAGAAAGAGGCTGTCCAGGGCCCCAGTCGTGATCTTTCATGATGTCTAATTACTGTCCGAGACGTCGGATCTCAGGGTACGGGCGGGTGTCTGCTTCTTCATGTTCGGCTTCCATGGTCCGTGACTGGGCCTCGGGGCCAGCAAAAAAGACTGAGGATGAAAAGTGTGTCCCGGGATCTGGGTCGAGACCTCTCGGGGTCCACGTCATGATGAGAAGATTCTGACGTCGGGGTCCCTGGGAACCCAGACATCCGGCGTCTCGATTCACCCTGAGATCTTGGCGCCCCGCTTCGGGCCCCGGGACCCTCACAGATCGATCTGTCTCGACAGATGTGGCGAAAGGGGTAGGGTTCGGGGCTCCAGCCGGTATTTTTCACGATGCTGCAGTTGTTTCGCGCCGTCCGTCGAAGCGCGGCCCCGGACGAAGAGCCAGACTCAGGAAGTGGTCGAGAGGTCGGGGGCCCGCACCTCGAGCAACAGCGAGGCGCCAGGTGCTCGGGCTTCCGCGTCTGCCAAAGCGGCGACGCCAGCGCCGCCGTCGACGCCACCGCTGGCGGCGTCAGCGAGCGGCGGCGGCGACGCCGACATTGCGGTGGCCGCAGCCGCCGAAGGGCGGCGGCGGCAGACGGCGCCGGGCGATGCGGACGACGCCTCCGACGACGACGTTTTTGTTTTGTTTACACACTGGCAGTGCCGGAGGACCTTTTGAATCTTCTGGAGAGCACCGACGTAAACCCTATGGCGTTCCAGGAAGGGGCGCGAGGTTGACATCTCCTCCCCGGCGGAAGGCGGCGGAGAGCCTGTGGAGGCGGGCGTCGAGCAGGGGCGGCTTCGCTGGTGGAAGGCGGCGGAAGGCCTGCAGACACCAGCGGAAGTATAAAGATGCCTGCGGATGCAGGCTGGAGATGGCAACCTGTTGTGATTCAGGACGTCCGTAATTTAGCCGGCGCAGAACGGTATATATTTGTCCGTCACCGGGGTCGCCTGTCCTGGGGCGGCTGGAAAAGTTTACACACTGACGTGCCACCATAGGGGTATAAGTTAGGTTTCCAGCCGCCCTGGGACAGGCGCCCCCGACGTCGAAACAGTTTATTTTATATCTCTCTCGCCCGTTAAGCAACATGGGGTAACCCCTACTTATCCGTGGAGATCTGGTGCTTCCAACGATCCAAGCTGTTGCGTGTGGGGCGGTCGCGCTGACGACCGAGCGGTGGCATAGGGCCAATAGTGGAGTCGACCCACGAGCAAAAAAAGGGGAGAGTCGTCCGAGGACGGCTTCGGTTGCAAATCATGGGAGCCCTGTGTACACTCCGGTCGACGAATGTAGGTGTCTCTGCTTTGTAAGACCCCAATATATTTTAGGCGCTCTTGCTTCAAGAGTCGAGTGGGTTTCCCTCTTCACTCCTCTTCAGGGGGCTGTCGGACACCCAATCTACTTCCAACGCCTTCCTACTTCATGTTTCCACCCACTTCTTCCGACCGACGGGTGCCCTCGTAACTCCGTCTTTAGAGTACACTCGCGCTCGATTAGCGCTTGGCTGTCGATGATATAGCGCGATTTAGCGTCGATTGGCTTGGATTGGCGTCGACCCGGCGTCGGCTAGCGTCGATTAGCGTCGATTCGCCAGAGCCAAACGAGATGGTATGGGAGGCTCCTACGAGATGCCGCAAGAGACGGTGCCGGGCTGGTGGATGGCGATGGTGAGGGGGGCGGGGGGGAGAGGGTTTGGCAGGTGGTAGTGGGGGTGACCGGAGTGGGGGGTGAAGAACAGGGCCTCTAAAGGGGTCCTGTGGGGCCCCTCTTGCAGCCAGCAGGGGCCCAAAACGATCCGAAAGGGCCCCTTTGGGGAGCCCCTTTCTGTCCCCCCCCCCACGTCGTCCACCCAGCTGCCCTGATGCGCCCGTTTTGGAGGGCGGTGTTCAAAACGTCCGTGTTGACACGCTGTGTGTGCTGGCTCGGCACGTGTTGGCCCACGTATTGGCGAACGTATCGCGCCAGACCTGCGTTTTCAGTCTACGTGTTGCGTCACGTGCCAACGCGCTACGCGTCGCGTGCTGCGCATCGGGGCAGCCAAGCCCCCGATGACCACCCCGCCCGAGAGGGGGGCCTCGTCCTCGCCATCCTCCTCCCCCTGCCCTTCCCCGCCCCCGGTCCCTCCACGCTCTGGTCCCCCTCCTCTCGAGCAGTGACAAGGCGTCCTGGCTTGCCCACCAAAGAATGTTCTGAGTACCTTTCGTGGTTTGCACGAAGTGCTCTTAGAACATTTTTGGCTCAGACTGTCTTGTTTAAGCACATCGGCTTGGTGTTCTAAGAGCATTGCTGTTGTTCTTGGAACATTTTGTTCTGAGATCATGTCGTGGTAGGCCAATCGGAACTCTGGGACGGTCGGTCCCTGCTCAATCCTCCTACCAGGAGGGAAAAGAAGACACAGACACACATAAACGTCGATTCCGGAAAACATGTGGGAAGATGGGGAGGTGGAGGGGAAGACGGACATCCAGAGCAGATGTAAAACAAATATGGGGGATCTTGGGATTTGTGTCTACTTATATTTGTGTGCCCCTGGGCCTTTTCAAACCTCCCCCTTTCCTCCTCCGCCTCCTCGTTCTCCACCCTGCTGCGCTGTGCTCTTCTCCTCCCTCTTCCCTCCTGCCTCCTCCATGGGTGTCTCCGGAGGTCCTGGGGGGAGATCGCCCAGACACGAATCGTGCAAACAGCGCCCTGATACTCCTCCTTCTCTTGCTCGAACCTCGGACCTCGATCCAGCGTCGTCGGCATGGGCTCTGAACTTTATGCGCGTGCTGACGGGTTGCCACTGCTCCATTCAGCAGCTCTCGAGGAGCAGCGTAGTAAAGTTCAAAGGTCTTACGCAGTCTTCAGTGCTCCAGAGTAAGTCTGTGGGACCCCTTCGGAAACACTGCTGGTCTGAAGGCCTGCTTGGATGTTGGTTGCTTGAAAGGTGTGTCCCTCTTGTCGACCTGCATCCTATCCGTCCTTCTTCTCTATCCTGTGTCGGTCTCTTGTTCCGCTGCTGTTATTCCTCGCTGTCTCCACTTCTTTCGCGTCTCGCTTCTCCTGCCACCGTGGTCAAGGACATGGCCAACGCGTCCGAGCGAGCTGTGCAGTATTGTCAGGCAACCTGTTTTCTCTCTTGATCGATAGGCTGACGCGTTCGCTGGGGGTCCGTCCCCAGGTTCTCGGTCAGACATTTTATGAGCTTGACGCGCCTCTGACGCTGCACTTCGTTTTGCAGTCGCATTCGTAGTTCGGTCGCCAGTAGTTTAGATCAGACTCCAGTATAGTATGGTTCCCCAGGGTTCATTGGGAGCACGCGCTGTTTGATGCACACGGTGAATCGCGAATGCTTTGTATACCTCTACGTGTTTGGTCAATTACGTTCCAGCATGAAATTGTTCATGAAGCCCCGCGGAGTGGGTATTTGTTGATCTGTGCACTTGTTACACCGTCATATATGCACTTGCTTCTGACACGCAGGTAAAGCGCAGAGTCTTGAATCATCCACCAGAGTGATTAGTCATGTTTTTAGCTGGACGTGCGTGTGTGTAATTCGGGCAGCTTTCTCTTGACCAGCGCAGTCGTGCACACATGGCAGTCTAAAACATGTTTCGATGCCAACCTTTGTAGGTTGCTCGAGCTAGCCGCCATCATCACCAACCGTGCCACTCGCAGGGGTTGCGGCACAAGCGCCGAAGGTAAATTTTGTTCCATTCCGATTCGCTTGTCAGCCACGCCATGCCAGCAAGCTTCAGAGATTTCTTGAAATCGGTTGACGCGGATGGAACGCCCGAGGCAGTCATCGTTGAAGCGGAAGCGGCGTTGAAACATGTACTCCGCATTGAGAAGCAATCTTCGCTCGATGGCGTGACTGGCGAGGACATTGATGCGACGTACAAGGGTGAGTCGATCGACGTGGCAGTCAAGGCGTTTCTTAAACGCGCTGCGAGTGTAGCAACACATGCGGGAGCAGCCAAGCGTCTGAGGGCTGGGAATGCTTTCGCTGCTGCTGCAAGCACAGGGGATGCTTCGCCTTCGTTACAGCAGCCTGACACAACACCTGGTATGGATCAATGTCCTGCGTATGGCCTGATGCGCGCAAGTCACCATCCTTTCGATTTTGGCGAGTTGAAGTTGCGAGTCAGCCTTGCTCCTCCAGTTGCCGGTGGAGTCCCTGACGCGGTCCTGTATGTCATGGATGCTGAGCCTGAGCTGTTTGCTCTTTCTGCTCTCCACCTTTACAGCCGGACGGGCTACTGTGTTGATCAGGACTCTCCGATGTATTCCCCGTTGAGGCACCTTGCAGTGGTAGGTGTCGGGCATGATCCTGCCTGCATTAGTATGTCGAAATGTGGGTGGGATATCGCTTCGTTCCGTGCGCTTCGCCAGCGTGATTATTGGAAGGATTGCAGCAAGTTGTTAACGGTGCTCTGTGAGAATGTAGTGCCATGGGCGGAGCAGCAACTTGGTGCGGTCGAGCTTCCTGCTGCGTGCAGGGCAATCCTGGGCTGCTCACTGAGCGGCGGCTTTTCGCTCCGAACTCTGTTCATGCGCCCTGGCCTTTTCGGGAAGATCATATTGGGATCGCCCTCGTTGCACTTGATGCCCGACATGTTTGAGCTTGCTGAATGCCGTGCGGCAGATTACCTGACCAAGGAGGTCCGGACGGTCACGTCTGTCCTCTTCATATCCACGCAGCACGAGACGCAGGAACCAAACCCCCCAGGGAATGGAATACCGGCCGCAGCCCGCCTGATGGCCGCCAGGCTGAAAGAGAAAGGCATACAGACAACCGACGTTTATTTACTCGAGGACGAGGCACACGATAGCATGAAACCATCCTTGACAACTCGGGGCTTGGGATGGCTAGAAGAGCAACTGTGTGGGAGGCGCGTTTTTTCATAGAAGCATTGATTCGTTTTGCGAAGGGCGAATCAGTTCCCACCGTCTCCGCCGCCGTTGCCATAAGCGTCATCATCGGAAACATCAGCTCCAATTCGGCTTCGGACCCCCGCGATTTTAAGATTTCCCCGAAGCCTTTCAAAGGTTTTTTGAAAGGAACGGCGTAGGACTTCCGCACGGAACCATCTCCTGGTTTTCTTGGGACTCCCGTCTTCCATCTTCTCCGTCTCTCTCTCTCTCTTTCTCCCCTCTTCCTCCTCCGTCTTCCTATCTTCCTCGTTCTCCTTCTCCCAGTCGGTTTCCCCCGTTATGGCGGAAGCAGTGAAGACCAAAGGAATGAACCGGGCGCGACCCCAACTAGGGGAACGCTTCTTATTGCATGGGCGTAGTACTTGGCATTGCTTGGTATTGCTTCGAATTGCTTGGCATTGCTTGGCATTGCTTGGTATTGGCGAGAAACCCGGGGAATCCGAGGAACCAGGGGAACCCGAGGAACTCGAGGATCCCGAGGAACCCGGGGAACCCGGGGAACCCGAGGGTCCCGAGGAAGAACCCGAGGAACCTTTGGAACCTGGGGAATCCAGGGAACCCGAGGCAAAGTCGCCTCCCGAGACCCCAACCTTTCACCCAGTAGGAACCCCTTAGGCAATACTAATTGGGGAAACATAAGAAATAAACACACAAAAAGCAACAATCCTGGGTAACTTCCCCCCCTCCCCGGGGTATGTGTGTTTCCTATGGTGTTCATTAGTTCCGCCCTGAACGGGGGTCCTGATTTGGAGGAGGAGGAGGACGACGACGAGGAGGAGGATGTTTAGGAGCCACATCCTCCTGTTCCTCCTCCTCCTCCTCCCCCTATCCTCTGCCTCATCATCCTTCTCCTCCCCGCGCCTCCTCCTCCTCATTCAGTTTCCATCGATCTTCCTTATCCTCCTTCTATCGCTCCTGCTCCTCCTCTTATCGCTCCCATGAAAAAACTGAGGAGGACGGAGGGGACGGAGGGATGATGATGATGATGATGATGATGATGATGATGATGATGATGATGATGGTGGTGATGACGATGATGATGATGATGGTGATGATGATGATGATGAGCGGGGCGAGGGAGGACGAGGCAGTGCCAGAGGAAGATACGAAGAGTAGGAGGAGGAGAAAGAAGAGGAGGAGGAGGTTGAGGGGTCACTCCTCTCCCTCCTCACTCCTTCTCCTTCTCCCTCCTCCTCGTCCTGTAGGAGAGCTAGGGGGAGGAGCAGGAATGATGGAAGGAGGACGATGAGGATGATTATGGAGGCAGCGGGACCTCATCGTCCGCCAAATCGTTCTCGTCCTCATCACGGCACTCATCACCTTCCTCCTCAGCCTCCGATGGCTAGGGGAGATGCGAGGAGGAGGCGAATGCTGATGAGGCAGAGCAGTGATATGAGGACAGGGGGTGATTGGAGCAGGATGATGACGAGAATAAGGAAGAGGACTCGGTACTGCTCAACATCGTTATCGGTTTCACCGTCCTCCTCCCCTCTCAGTCTCTCCAGCCTTCTCAGCTGTGCTTCTCCTATGCGCACGCTGTCGTTCCCCATCGCCCTCCTCCCCCTCATTCTCCTCCTCCTCCTCATCCTCCCCATCCTTCTCCTCCTCTTCCTCCTCAGATTCTTCTTCCTCCTCCTCCTCCTCCTCCTCCTCCTACTTCTCCTCCTCCTTCTCCCCATGATCCTCTCACACCTCCTCGTCCTTGTCGCCTTCCTCATTCTACCACTCGTCCTCCCCCTTCCATCCTCTTCCCATCGCCTCTATGGAAGAAGGTGGGATGGGGGGGAGGGAGGGAGATGAGGAGGAACGGTGATATGATGAAGGGGAGGGTGGACAGGTGAGGCAGATCAGGTGTAGGAGGAGGAGGAGGAGGAGGAGCAGGAGGAAGTGGCGGAAGATGAGGAGGATGAGGATGAGGAGGACGAGGAGGAGGAGGAGGAGGAGGAGGAGGAGGAGCAGGATGAAGATGAGGAGGATCATGAGGAGATTGAGGAGGAGGAGGAGGAGGAGAGCTACGGGGAGCAGCAGGAGACGTAGGATGAAGAGGAGGAGAAGGAGGGGGGCGATGCTGACCACACTGCGGTGGACAGTTGGTAGGAGGATAAGGATTGTGATGAGGATAAGGGTGCTGAGGGAACCTAGAATGGTGGTGGTGAGTAACTATTTCTCCTCCTCCTTATTGTCATCATCCAGGCCCCATCACTCCCCATTCCTCATACCTCGCCTGAGTCTGCGTTTCCCAACCATCCTGTTGTGTTGGGTCCTCGTGTTGAAAAGACAGCGCACCGCGCCTCTCCTCCCGCTGGCCCCTCCCTCATCCTTCCATCACCATCATCCTCATCAGCATCAGCATCAGCATCATCACCATCATCACCATCATCATCATCACCAGCAGCATCATCAGCATCCGTACCACTATCATCATCATCATCATCACCATCATCAACGGCATCATCAAAAGCATCATGGTCGTCATCATCGTCGTCGTCATCATCATCCTCATCAGCATCATCACCATGATCCTAATCACCAGCATCAGCATCATCACCATCACCATCATCATAATCATCACCATCACCATCACCATCACCATCATCATCATCATCATCATCATCATCATCATCATCACCTTCAACCTCATTATCATCATCATGGCCGTCACCATCATCGTCATCTCCATCGCCGTCATGATCACCATTTCGCCATGAGCTTCGGCACTCCACTCACGGCCCCACAGGGAGCTCCACCTAAAGCCCCAGTGGCACAGTTCGCATGAGGGCGAAACCCCAATTTCGACACACCGCTCACACGTTCCGTGGCCCCATAGGGAGCTCAACCGAAGCCCCAGTGGCGCAGTTCGCATGTCGGCGTCACCCCCGTTTCGGTTCACCCCTCTCACGCTTCGTGGCTCCATAGGGAGCTCCACCAAAGGTCCTAGTGGCGCAGTTCGCATGTGGACGTCACCCCCGGTTCGGCTCACCCCTCACACGTTTCGTGGCCCCACAGGGAGCTCCACCTCAGGCCCCAGAGGCACAGCTCGCATGTGGGCGTCGCCCTCGCTGCGGCACAATCTTCACACGTTTCGTGGCCCCATACGGAACTTCAGCTAAGGTCACAGTGGCGCAGTTCGCCTGTGGGGCGCCGGGGTCGTCGCGACACAGCTTGGAACACTGTTGCGTCTGAATCCAGGAAGCGGTCCGGGGACTGAATTACAGCGGATATCCCCTCTCTCGCCCTCCATATCCAACCGGAGGAGGACGAGGAGGATGACGAGGAGGTGGAGGAGGCGAGGCGAGGAGGATGAGGCGGCGGAGGAGGAGGAAGAGGAGGAGGGGGAGGAGGAGGAGGAGGAGGAGGAGGAGGAGGAGGAGGAGGAGGAGGGCGATCATCATGAGGACGAGGAGGACGAGTCGCAGGAGGGGGGCGAGGAGAAGGAGGAGGAGCAGGAGGACGAGGAGGAGGCGCGACACTGTTGAGGACGACGACCATACTGAGGATGACTACAGATGAGGAGGAGGACGAAGATGATGACGATGATCATCATGAGGATGAAGAGAACGAGGATCAGGTGCGGGACGAGGAGGGGGAAGGATGAGCAGGAGGAGGAGGAGGAGGAGGAGAAGGAGGAAGCGGGACATCAATGAGAACGACGACCACGATGAGAGTGGGGAAGACGACAATAATGAGGATGACTATGGACGCGGGGGAAAGTGAGGAGGAGGCGGAGTTGGAGGATGAGGAGGATGAAGAGGAGGGAGGATGATGACGATGATCACCATGGGGATGAAGAGGATGAGGGTCAGGATTGGGGACGAGAAGGCATCCCGAGTTGCTGGCCCCATAGGAAGGCCTGTCGAAAGATGTACCCACAACACGGCACCCACATGTGCATATGGTTGGGTCCTTCGCCTGGGCAATTTTCCCTAATCAGAGCTTGCTTCTATAGGGGTCCTAGCGGATATAAAGCTGAGGTGAGGTGAGCGGCCGATTTCGGTGGCCGGGGCCGGGTGCCCGGGTGCCCGGGGGTGCCCGGGTGGCCGATTTCGGTGGCCGGGCCAGGGTGCCCGGGTGCCCGGGTGCCCGGGGGTGCCCGGGTGCCCAGGGGTGCCCGGGGGTGCCAATAGCCCAGTAGCCCTATAGCCCTAAAGCCCTATAGCCGTATAGCCCTATAGCCCTGTAGCCCTATAGCCTTATATCCCTATAGCCCTAATAGCCCTACAGCCCTATAGCCCTATAGCCCCATAGCCCATATAGCTCTATAGCCCTATAGCCCTATAGCCCTATGGCCCTATAGGTCGCAGTCCTATAGCCCGATAGCCCTACAGCCCGATAGCCCTATAGCCCAATAGCCCTATATCCCTATAGCCCTATAACCCTAACAAAAATCTGATTGGGGTTTTTCTCCGGTATCATTTCATTTCGAATCTCACATATGGAAGGAGGAGGAGTGGTATGAGAAGGAGGCATGACATGAGGAAGGCGGAAGGAGTTGGAGGATGATGAGGAGGTTCAGGAGTCAGCTCCCATCAGCCTTCATCCTCCTCATCACCCTACTTCTATCACTCCTGCTCATCCTCTTTATCCTCATCCTATCTCTCCGATTGTAGGGGTAGGAAGGTGGAGGAGGGCTGATGAGGAGGAGTGACCCCTGAAGCACCTCCTCAGCATCACCCTCATATTCATCATCCTGTGGCAGCCCCTCTTCGTCCCCCTTCCCCTCGTCATCATTATCCCTCCTTCCCCTCCCTTCTCCTTCGCCTCCCGTGTGAGAGATATGAGGAGAATGAGGGACAGGAGTGAGAACGAGGAGGAGAAGGAGGGCGACGAGGGAGATTGATGGGAGCAATGGGAGTAGGATGAGCAGGGGGAGAGGAGGACGAGGTGGAGAAGAACAAGGATGGACGACTCCTCCACCTCCTCCTCCTGCTCCACCTCCTCCTCCCCCTCGTATTACACCCTGTCCTTATCTTCATTGAACTCATACTCCTGATCCTACACCTCTCTCTCTCTCTCTCTCCTCTCCCTCTTCTTCCTCTTCTTGCCCTTCTCCGCATCAGAGGAAAAGCCAGCCATCATCTTTTGACGGCGCAGGTATTGGGACACAACGGTGTAGCCCTCCGCCGCATGAAGGGTAGCATTAGCAGAATGATCTAGGTTCCGAAACCGAACTGGAACCGAAACGTCATAGCAATCACATTCACTGGGGCCAGCACTGAAGTTTAACTCTGACGCGGCCACCATCGTCGATGTCAATGCTATGCCCGATCATCGGCATCCGCCCCTTCTTGATCTGATTGCAGATGTGAAGTACGGAGCGTGTTTTTCTTCCTTTTCGGTCCTCCTTCTCTGCTCCGGTGGCAAATTTGCTTGGTTCTTCGCAGTTTTAGTCATAGTTTCTCCTGGGCCCGGGGCTATAGCCAGTCCTTCCATTCCCTTTTCCCCTGCCATGCCAGCGCCACTAATACAGTTTGGGGTGAAGTCGTATCGGCCTGCGTTCGCATGGAGAGCATATGCTTTGGTTCGGTGCTCTCTCTCTTTCCTCCTCCTCCTCCTCCTCCTCCGCCTCCTCCTCCTCCTGCTACTCCTTCTGCTCATCCCTCTCGCGGTGAACGCTGCGGGGTCGCCCGTGTCCGTGTCCAGCGCCCCTGGATGCACAGTGGTCCGTTTTCCCACGTCAAGCAGTCGTCCAAACAAACCATCGCTCGCAGAACAGCCTCGCGACCTGACTGGACGCTTTAATACCACCCGTGTGCACGGCGCTTGAAGTAGCCAGATGGCTTAGTCGCTTCACGATTGCGCCACCGAGCTTGTCATCGTGCTGCTATGTCCGCTGCCCCTCCTCCCCTCCAACATCACGCGGAGAAGCAGATTCGTCGATATCAATGCTATTGTGACTGCGTTCGGTAATTCGATTCCTGCCTGTCTCGGCATTGCATGTTGTTTAAGACGCTTCGCGTTCACCGCCTGCTCACTCCAGTTTTCGCCGGACGAGGCGAAGACGGCTCGACGACGGTATGAACATATGCAGCAAATCATACAAGACCCCCCGCAGATGTGTGTTTTGTTGTTTTTGCCCGCGCTCCATTGTTGTTCCCAACCCGTAGCCTATTAGGGTCAGGCATGCCGCGTGGCTGATCGATCGTCGATTTGCCGTTTGGTCGTCGTCTCGTCATCAGTACCGACGGATCAGTGATATGGACGTTGGCTCTCTGGGCCCTTGCTTAAGATCCACGCCAGGAGGCCAGAAATAGCCCGACCACTGCCCAAGATCAACTAAAAACGGCCCGAACGCTGCCAAAAAGGAGCCAAGCAGAGACCCATGCGGCTCAGGCGGGCGTTGAACGGCCGAAGCGACAGCACGTCCGTGTTCTGGCCGTGACTCCGTCGGAATGGCATTGCAACTCGGGCTGGTTTGGGGCCGGTTTGGGCTTTGTTTTGGAACCCACGTGAAGCCCAGGAGCGTCCGACATGGATCCTGGATCGAGTCCACAAACGACGTAGGTGTTGGAGCAGGTGTATGTAGGTACAGCACGAGTTGTTGGTCCCAGGTAGGGGGTCGGGGTTCTGTCGATGCATGCAGGCGGCTGGGTCGTTGTTTGTATTTGACGTCATGTTCTGCTTGGGCGTGAACTCAGGCATGGCGTGCAGCGTCATGCGGCTTCATGCCATAGCACTCGACACGCTGCCCGAGATCTAGTGGCCTTCGTGCCTGGATGCTGCTCGGGGTTGCGTGGATTGCCTTGCGAAAGCATATGGCTATTGTACGGTGTTTGCGTTGGTGCAATCGGTATGACCAATTTAGTACCGAAGTGGTATCGTGAGCGTCATGTGGATCCCTGCGGGCGTGGACCCCTGGTGCTAGGGAGGTGTGTCGGATGCTCCATGGCTGAACTGGCATCCCAGTGGCACCGCTGGAAGCAGATCGATCGGAGGGAGTGGGGTTGGAAGAGGAGGAGGAGCAGGAGGATCAGGAGGATGAGGAGGACGTGGAGGAGGAGGAGGAGGAGGAGGAGGAGGAGGAGGAGGAGGAGGAGGAGGAGGAGGAGGAGGAGGAGGAGGAGGAGGAGAGAGAGACTGTTATAGAGTTGACGCAGGGGACGCAACGACGACGACGACGGCGACGACGACGACGACGATGACGACGACGATGACGTGGACGACGACACAGGTCGGCCAGGCGTGAACCATAACAGTCTGTGTCCGCGAGCCTTCGGGATGCCTCTTGGGTGCTTCTTGAGTATGTAGGCTTCAAGTGGCACCATTCGGGCACCAGGGAAGTCTCTCGGGCCATCTTGGGGGGCGTGTGTGGGCCTCTTCTGGGCCTGTCGGGGGCGTCGTCGGGCTTGCTGGGGGCCCCTTGGGGTTTCTCGGGGCTGTTGGGGCCTCCTGCAGGGCCTCTTGGGACGGAGGGCTCGAAAAGTTTGTTCGGGCTCCCCCTGTTGGGCCCCTCTTGGGCCGTCCTGGGGGCCTCTTGGACCGCCTTGGGGCCCTCTTGGGGGGCGATCTTGGAGCCCTCTTGGGCCGTTTTGGAGCCCTCTTGGGCCGTTTTGGGGCCCACTTGGATCGTCCTGGGGCCGTCTTGGCGGCCTCTTGGGCCGCCCCGTCCGTCTTCCTGTAAAAACCAGGCGGGTTCTAGGTTGTTTTGGGTCCGTTTGGGGACCCAAGCGGGGTCCCGAATTTTCCAAAATGGACCCCGCAGCGCGCCCAAAAGCGGCGTCCAAATTTGGATGATGGAAAATACTCCAAACGAGCCCGAAAGGCAGTTGTAAGAAGTGTCGGGGTCACCCCCGGGGAAGCGAAAATCAGAGAAACAATCGTAGTCTTTGCTATACTTTTTGACCTTCCAGCTTTTCGGCGAGAACGGGCCGCAAAGGCGTTCTCGAGGGCCCCGGGAGCGGATTTTGGAGGCCAGCCCCGACAGGGCCGAAATGACGCCAAAACGCGCCCAAGAGGCGTTCTCAGAACGATGTGAAAATCGAGCTCGTCTTGGAAGCCGTCTGGGAGGCGTCTTGGGGACCGCAAGTGGGCTTGGGCGCAGCTGGGCAGCGGAATGGCGGAGGCCTCTTGGGGGTGATTATAAGGAGGGGGATCAAAGCATTGTAAGGAGCTATCGTGGTTAGATCCCACACGCCCCTCAGCCCGGTGGGCGGGCGAACTCAAGAAGTCTACGCCATTCCGCCGACCCCCGAGGTTGGGCCTCTTGGAGGGCTCTTGGAGGAATCTGGGGGGTTCTTGTCGGGGCTTCTTGAGGGCTCCTTGGGGGCGTCTTGGGAGCCTCGTGGGGGCCTCTTGGGGCCTCTTGGGGGCGCCTCGTGGGCTTCAGGGGGTCGATTGGAGCCATCTTGGGGGGACAGGCTCGAAATGTGAATCCGTACTCCTCTTGGGCCCCTCTTCGGGCCCTATTGGCGCTCTCTTAGGCCGTCTTGGGAGGCCCTGGGGCAGTCGTTTGGCAATTTGAGGCCATCTTGGCGTCATCTTGGGGGCCTCTCGGGGGCCTTGTGGTCCGTCTTGGGACGATCTTGGAGCTCCTGGGCCGTCCTGGACGCCGTGAACGACAAAGGCGCGAATACTGCAAACATACAAGGTTTCCTCCGGGAATGGGACGATGCTTGCCTCTTGGGGATCTCGGTGGTCCTCCGGGAGCACTTTTGGGGTGCCGTCGGGGGCACTTGGGCCGTCTCGAAGTCATCTGGGAACGTCGTGGGGTTACCTTGGGCCATCGTGACGCTGATGTGTACTGTCTTGGCGCTCTGTTGCAGCCCTCTTGGGCCATCTTGGGGCTTCGGACAGGTTGCGGAGGCGCCGGGGAAGTGTTTGGGAGCTCCAACTCCCCCTGCCACCCAGCAATGTGACGAATGACAACCAACTAGAACAAATTCCAACCACTGTCGTTTAAATTCCAACCACTTTGGCACTCATTCCGACCACTTTGGTGAGAAGTTTTTGCGAGGCGTCTGCGAGGTGTCTTACAGGCGCCTCTTCGAGGCGTCTTACAGGAGCCTCACCTCGTCTGTGAGGCGTGTTACAGGTGCCGCTGCGAGGCGTCTGGGAGGTCTCTGCGAGGGGACGTGCAGTCTCCGTTGGCCACATCCTTGGTTGGGAAGTGTGCAGTCGTCCGAGCGCTGGCCACATCCCTGATTGCGAACGGTGCTCTCGCTTGAGCGTCTGCCCCGACTACATCCTGAGACACTTCTTGCTTACATCATTGAGGGTTGTCCTCGATGTGTTCCTAACCACCTTGTGGGTTTGGGTCCTCGTTTTGAAGGGGCAGCGCCCCGTGTCCCTGACTCTTCTCCCTCCCATCATCACTATCATCATCATCATCATCGTCATCGTCGTCAGCTTCAGCATCAGCATCAGCATCAGCATCAGCATTATCATCATCATCAACCTCATCAGCATCATCATGACCACCACCAGCACCACCACCACCATCATCATCATCATCACCACCACCACCATCGCCATCATCACCATCACCATCATCACAGTCAGCATCATCATCAATATCATCATCACCATGATCATGATCATCATCATGATCATCACCATCATCACCATCATCATCGCCCTCATGATTAGCCTGATCATCATCATCATCATCATCATCATCATCATCATCAACATCATCATCATCATTCTTATCATTATCGTTACCATCATCATCGTCATCATCGTCAGCATCATCACCACCGCAATCATGATCATCGTCACCATCACCATCATCAGCGTCAGCATCATCATCACCATCAACATCAACATCAGCATCATCACCATCACCATGATCATCATCATCAGCATCATCATCATCATCATCATCATCATTAGCATCATCAGCGGCAACATCATCATCATCATTATCAGCATCATCATCGTCATCATCGTCATCATCATCATAGACGTCCTCATCACCATCATCATCATCAGTTTGTGCACGCCCCGTACACGTTTCGTGGCCCCACGGGGAGCTCTACCGAAGGTCCTAGTGGCGCAGCTTGCATGCGGTCCCGAGTTTGGCACACCTCTCACACTTTTCGTGGCTCGTCCCAGTGGCGCTGTTCGCATGCGGTCCCGCCAACAATTTCGAAACACCCGTCACACGGTTCGTGCCTCCACAGGGAGTTCCACCGAAGATCCCAGTAGCGCAGTTCGCATGCGGTCCCGCCACCCGTTTCGGCACACCCCTCACACGTTCCGTGGGCCCATACGAGGCTCCGCCGAAGGTCCCAGTAGCGCAGTTCGCATGCGGTCCCGCCACCCATTTCGACACACCCTTCACGTGCTGCGTGCCCTCATAGGTAGCTTCACCGAAGGTCCCAGTGATGCAGTTCGCATCGGGTCCCGCCACCCATTTCGGCACACCTCTCACACGTTTCGCGGCCCTATAGGCTGCTCCACCGACGATCCCGGTTGCGCAGTTCCCATGCGGTCTTGCCGCCCATTTCGGCACACCTTTCACACGTTTCGCGGCCCCATGGGGAGCTCCACCGAAGGTCCCAGTGGCGCAGTTCGCATGCGATTCCACCACCCATTTCGACACACCCTTCACGTGCTGCGTGCCCTCATAGGGAGCTTCACCGAAGGTCCCAGTGACGCAGTTCGCATCGAGTCCCGCCGCCCATTGCGGCACACCTCTCACACGTTTCGCGGCTCCATAGGCTGCTCCACCGACGATCCCAGTTGCGCAGTTCGCACGCGGTCTTGCCCATTTCGGCACCCCTTTCGCACGTTTGGCGGCCCCATGGGGAGCTCCACCGAAGGTCCCAGTGGCGCAGTTCGCATGCGGTCCCGCCACCCATGTTGGCACTCACCTCACACGTTCCGTGGCCCCATAAGGGGGCTCCACCGAAGGTCCCAGTGGCGCAGTTCGCAGGCGGTCCCGCCACCCATTTCGGCACACCCCTCACTCGTTTCGCGGCACCACAGGGAGCTCCACCGAAGGCCCACATCGTAGCGCCCGAATGGCGCCGCCGTCCCATTTCGGCACACCTTTCACACGTTTCGTGGTCCCATAGGGAGCTCCACCGAAGTTCCCATTGGCGCATTTCGCATGCGGTCCCGCCACCCATGTCGACACACCTCTCAAACGTTTCGTAGTCCCATAGGAAGCTCCACCGAAGGTCTCAGTGGCGCACTTCGCAAGCGGTCCCGCCACCCATTTCGGCACACACCTCACACGTTTCGTGGCCTCACAGGGAGCTCAACCGAAGGTCCCAGTGGCGCAAACGCATGCGGGCCCGCCATGGATTTGGGCAAACCCTTTACACGTTGCGTGCCCCGAAAGGGAGCCCCACCGAAGGTACCAGTGGTGCAGTTCGCATTCGATCCCGCCGCCCATTTCGGCACGCCCTTCAAACGTTTCGTGGCTCCACATTAAGTCCTACCGAAGGCCCACATGGCAGCGCCCGCATGGTGCCGGCGCTCCATTTCGGCACACCCCTCATTCGTTTCGTGGCCCCATAAGGGGTCCGCACCGAAGGTCCCAAATGGCAGCGCCCGCATGGCGCCGCCGCCCCATTTCGGAACACCCTTCATACGCTCCGTGGGTCTATAAGGAGCTTCACCGAAGGCCCAAACGGCAGCGCCCGCATGGCACCGCCGCTCCATTTCGGCATACACCTCACGCGTTTCGTGGCCCCATGATGGGGGCTCCACCGACGGCCCGCGCAGCAGCGCTTGCATGGCACAGCCGGCCCACTCTGGCACACCCCTCGCGCTTCGTAGCCCCATACGGAGCCCCACCGAAGGCCCACAAGGCAGCGCCCGCATGGCGCCGCCGCCCCACTTTGGCACGCACCTCACACGTTTCGTGGCCCCATATGGGGACCCCACAGAAGGCTCCAACGGCCGCATCCGCATGGCACCGCCGCTTAAATTTCGACACACCGTTCACGCGTTTCGCAGCCCCGTGTGGAACCCCACCGCAGACCCAAGTCGCAGCGCCCGCCAGGCGGCGCCCCGCCCGATTCGGTCACCCTGGACGTGTTTCGTGGCTCCATGAGGAAGCTCCCCTTTCTTCCCCTGCGCTGCGCCAGTCACATCTGCATATGGTTGGATCCTTCGTCTGGACGCTAAAATACATAGTATCTATTCATTCGTATCGCCATCCGCATCCACATCTCAAGGTCCACATCATCGCAAGCCGTCTTGGTACCAATTTCAGCCCGGGCGGTGGAATAAGTGTGCACGCATACGCCGACCATTTAGTTTTGTGATACACGTTCATCGCCTTACAATTCAAATCGCATGGTGAGGGTACTTTGCCAGTTGGGATTAGTATCAGTTTGTCTCTCGAGCTGGTCGGAAAAAGTACCAGGCGGTTAGGATTGGTCTCAGTTAGTTGGGATTAGTCCCAGATGCCCCTCCCCGCCACCCCCCTTCAACACGATTTTGAGCTCCCTGGGAGGCGGACAGCTAATCATCGCATACGCCTTTGCACCCCTGGCAGGCGGGGGGGCGGCGGGGTTTTCATGTTGCACGCACGAACACCGACGTGGGTTCGGGGCTCTTCCCAGCCAGCGTTCCTCGGCGTTGCTCGGGCCCCGGCGTTGCCCAGAGTTCCTCGGCTTCCTTGGGCTTTCCTCATAGCAGCGCCAAGCAGTGCCAGGTAACACGAAGCAACGCTAAGGAATGCAACGCAATGCAGAGTAATGCAAAGCAGTTCCAAGGCATGCTAAGCAGCGTAAAGGGATGCAGCGCAACGATCCCCAGCAATACCAAGCAATGCCAAGCAATGCCAACCAATGCAAAGCCAACGGCAAGCAACGCCAATCAGCGCCAAGCAATGCCAAGGACTGCCAAGCAATGCCAAGCGCCGAAAATACGAAGTACTGCAATGCACTGCAACTCAATGGCAAGCAACGCCAGGCGATGCGAAGCAATGCAAAGCAGTGCGAAGCAATGCGAAGCAACGCAATGCAACGCCAATGCCAAGCAATATCAAGTAATGCCAAGCAATGCCAAGGAGTGCCCAGCAATTCCAAGTAATGTCAAGCAATGCCAAGCAACGCCAAGCATTGCAAACAAACGAGTCCAAGCAACGGTTCCAAGCAGTGTCATTCAGTGCCAAGCATCTCTAAGCAATATACGGACTGTCAAACAACGCCACTCAACAGCAAGCAATGCATCACAATGCAACGCAAATCAAAGCAACGCAGCGCAATGCCAAGCAATGGCATGCAACGGTTTCAAGGAACGCCAATCAGTGTCTTGTATTGCATTTCGTTGCTGTGAGCTGCTCAGAATTGCTTTGAGTTGCCTTGCTGGCTCAAGTTTTGGCCCAAGCTGCATTGCCGCCCCGCCATCGTCTGCGAATCCTCTTGCCGCGTCAATTCAGGACGATGGCCCAGCGGAGCGGTGCCCAGCACCTCGCCGGCGGCGCGTGCGCGCTCACGGGTGGCGCCGCCTTGTGCTGGTCGGCGGGCACCGCGCCCAGCCTGCGTGGCGCTGCAGCGCCGCCCGCGGCCGCACACGCGGACCGCGCCGCCTTCAGCGCGCCGTGCTCCTCGTCGGCGTCGGCGGCCGCGGCGGCGCTGCCCCTGGCCGCGGCGGCGGCCGCCGCCGCCGTCGGCGCAGCGCAGCGCAGGCGGGCGGCTGGGAAGCATCGTGTGGCGCTACGGAACGCGAACATGGACAATGCGCCTGCGCCGGCGAAGCCGCGCGTGCCGGAGGGCACGCCCGCAAAGCACCCGATGTCGATCCGCAAGCGGCCCCGCAGGAACCGCCGCAGCCCCGTGTTGCGCGAGATGGTGCAGGAAACGACGCTGACGGCCGCCAACTTTATCCTCCCCCTCTTTGTGCACGAGGGCAGCGAGAGCATCCCGATCTCGTCCATGCCCGGCGTCTCGCGCCTCGGCGTGGACACAGGCCTGCTGGACGCCGTGGGTGAGGCCGTGAAGGTGGGCGTGAAGTCGGTCGTGCTCTTCCCAAAAACGCCGGACGAGCTCAAGACAGCCACTGGCGAAGAGGCGTTCAACCCGAACGGCCTGGCCCAGAGGGCCATCCGCAACGTCAAGCGGGCTTTTCCCGAAGTGGTCGTTTACACCGACGTCGCGCTGGACCCCTACAACACACTAGGCCACGACGGCATCGTCCGTTCCGACGGCGTCATCCTGAACGATGAGACGATCAATTATTTGTGCAAGCAGGCTGTGTCGCAGGCGGAGGCCGGGGCAGATTTCGTCAGCCCGAGCGACATGATGGACGGCCGCGTGGGCGCCCTGCGCGACGCGCTGGACGCGGCCGGCTTCACGGACGTCGGCATCATGTCGTACAGCGCCAAGTACAATTCTGCCTTCTACGGCCCCTTCCGAGAGGCGCTCGACTCGGCGCCCGCCGGACTCGAGGGCTGGACCGTTCCCAGCGACAAGGCCACCTACCAGCAGAGCCCAGCCAACTACCGGGAGGCCCTCCTGGAGGCCGCGCTGGACGAGGAGGAGGGCGCGGACATCATGATGGTGAAGCCGGGCCTGCCCTACCTGGATGTTATCAAGGGCCTCTCCGACCAGAGCAACCTGCCCATTGCGGCCTACCACGTCTCTGGCGAGTACGCGATGCTGAAGGCGGCCGCTCTGAACGGCTGGGTGGACGAGAAGAGGGCCGTGCTGGAGGCCTTGATGTGCATCAGGCGGGCGGGCGCCTCGGTGATCCTGACCTACTACGCCGTGCAGGCCGCCAAGTGGCTGCAGGAGGAGGATGAGTGAGCAGGGCGCCCGGCTTCCGTGAGTTCGTGCCGCGGTCCAGTCCTGTGTAGACGTTTTGGAGAAGGTGATGTATTCCCTTCGTGTTTCTCGCGGGCTGCTCTGTCAGCCGCTGTTTTTCAGGAGTTTATCAAAACTGACCATTTGAGATCGACGACCACGATTGGCTGGCGCTCGCTGTCAGAAAACATATCCCGGCAAAGCAACCGAACAGCGATGTGTATAAGCATATCTGGAAGCATTCCCCTTAAGATTCATGTGAGAATCCAGTTGTAGAATTCTGCTGTTCTCGCAGTCGCAGTCGCATCCGCAATGACAGTCACAGTGGCAACGGCCTTAGGATCCAATGGAATTCTAAGGATTCCTAAGGCATCCTTAGGCATCCTTAGGAATCCATAGGAATCCTTAGGACACCTTAGGATTCCTAGGGATTCCTGGGTATTCCTAAGGATTCCTAGGGAATCCTAAGGATTCCTAAGGATTCCTGAGGATGCTTAACTATGCCTACGGATTTCCAAGGATGCCTACGGATTCCCAAGGATTCCTATGGATTCCTAAAGATTCCTATGGATTCCTACGGATGCCTCAGCCTGCCTCAGTTTCAGCCTCAGCCTCAGCCTGCCTCGGCTTGCCTCAGCCTCAGCCTCAGCCTGCCTCGGCCTCAGCCTGCGTCAGCCTCAGCCTCAGCCTCAGCCTGCCTCAGCCTCAGCCTCAGCCTCAGCCTCAGCCTCAGCCTGCCTCGGCTTGCCTCAGCCTCAGCCTCACCCTGCCTCGGCCTCAGCCTGCCTTGGCCTCAGCCTGCCTCGGCCTCAGCCTGCCTCGGCCTCAGCCTGCCTCAGCCTCCCCTCCTTCCCCCCTTCCCCCCCCCCTTCCCCCCCCCCCATTCAGCCTCACCTTGTCTCAGCTTCGGCCTGCCTCGGCCTTATCCTCAGCCTCAGCCTCAGTCTCAGCCTCAGCGTGTCTCGGCCTGAGCCTGCCTCGGCCTCAGCTTGCCTCAGCCTCAGCCAGTCTCAGCCTCAGCCTGCCTCAGCATCAGCCTCAGCCTGCCTCAGCCGCAGCTTGCCTCAGCCTCAGCCACAGCCTCAGCCTCAGCCTCAGCCTGCCTCAGCTTCAGCCTCAGCCTCAGCCTGCCTCGGCTTGCCTTAGCCTCAGCCTCAGTCTGCCTCAGCCTCAGCCTCAGCCTGCCTCAGCCTCAGCGTCAGCCTCTCAGCCTCAGCCTGCATCAGCCTCAGCCTCAGCCTCAGCCTGCCTCACCCTCAGCCTCAGCCTGCCTCAGCCTCAGCCTGCATCAGCCTCAGCCTCAGCCTGCCTCGGCCTCAGCCTCAGCCTCAGCCTCAGCCTGCCTCAGCCTCAGCCTGCCTCAGCCTCAGCCTCAGCCTGCCTCGGCTTACCTCAGCCTTAGCCTCAGCCTGCCTCGGCCTCAGCCTGCCTCGGCCTCAGCCTGCCTCAGCTCGGGTATGCAAAATATAGCACAGGATTTGTGTTCTGGGAACACGAAGATCACGAAGTGGCCCACAGTTGGCTCCGGGCAATGAAAATATGCTACAGGAATGGTGTTCTGGGAGCACGAAGAGCACGAAGTGGCCTACAGCTGGCTCCGGGCATTCAAAATGTGGCCTGGGACTGGTGTTCTGGGAACACGAAGAACACGAAGTGGCCTACAGTTGGCTCCGGGCATTCAAAATGTGGCCTGGGAATGGTGTTCTCGGAAGACGAAGAACACGAAATGGCCGACAGCTGGTTCAGGGCATTCAAAATGTGGCCTGGGAATGGTGTTCTGGGAACACGAAGAGTAGGAATCCATAGGAAACTATAGGAATCTAGAGGAGTCCTGGAGAGTCCCCGGGTTCCCCGGCTTCTCCCAGCACCCGCCGAGACCCCCTTGGGGAGTCAAGATGCTTTCTTTTGAGCCCACTAGAAACCTATCAGTCTTCGCTGTTAGGTAAAAAGAAGAAGACCCCTTGCTAGGGTCGCGCTGCTCTCATTTAGTAGGTAAGCATGTTCTCCCGTGCCCTTTTTGTTGTTGGTCGGCTCGGTCTGCTGAGTTACCGTTGACAAATGACGGGGTGAGGGTTTTTTAAGGGTCCATCAACAAACTGCATGCCGTGTGTGCCCGCTCGATGAAAGTGCGCCCCCCACTGCCACATTGGATGCTTGATGATGAATGACGGTGCTTTGAGACCGTTGTTTCTCAGATGAGCATGACGCTCCGGAGGCGTTTTGATAGTGTGCCTCGCAAGTAACGGGGTCACCAGCCATGTAAGTTGCAAGACGCATTGAACAAGTGGTTCCCGTGCGTGCTCGAGGATGTTGCGCTTCCCTCGTAGACTCTTCGATACCACGGGTGCGCTTCCCGCGTAGAATCCTCGATGTAAGGGGGTCCAGGGTGCCATAGGAGACTTCTGGAGGCCCCAGGACGCGAAGCCCAAACTGGCACCAGGAGGCTCCAGAAGGCTCCAGGACGCCTCAGGAGGCCCGGCACGTCCCCTTGCGCGTCCCTCTGGCGCGTCCCCTGGCGCGTCCACTGGCGCGTGTCCCCTAGCGCTCCCGCGCTCCCTGGTGCGTTCCCTGCGCGTCCCCATGGCTCGTCCTCTGGCGCGTCTCGTTGCGCTTCCCCTGGCGCGTCCCCTGGCCCCTGGCACGTCCCCTGACACGTCCTATGGCGCTCCAGCCAGTGCGTCCCCTGGCCCGTCCTCTGGTGCGTCGCCTGGGGCAGGGGTCTGGAGAGGGGCAAGAGTCTCACACGCTGAGGAAGCCCCAAATGGTCGGCGAATTAGCAGCAAGGTGGGTAAACATGGGGGTAAGCCATCCACTGGAGGACATGAGGAACTGATACCTCCCACGCCCCACAGGCCAGTCAGCTAGGCATACTCATTCGCTTATCCTTCGTTTGCTGAGATGCCTGTGTCTTGGCATCGCTCGGACGTGTGTTTTTTCGGCAAGAACCATCGGAGAGCGGTTGGGGTCATCTTGCGCGACAGAAAATGCACGCACGGTACCGAAGCATGCACAGTGGAAAGGACGTCCGAGCGATGGCGAGGTGTAAAACGAGTGGCTGCGCAGCTGAACCGGGAGTTCGATTCTGCAGCAGCCATGGCGGCAATCGGCGCCAGGCTCTGGGCCATGGTGGCCGCCAGGACAGATGCAGGCTTGGGGGGAAGGGATGCAGCCTGCAGCAGAAACCGGGTGTGGGCGGGAAGCGCCACAGTGACCTGCGCAGCCACGTGCGAGGGAGCATCTTCACACGCCTGTAACATAAAAACGGATTTGTGGGACCCACTCGGCCTTATACATTCCCGTGCGAGCAACGAAGACACGGCTTCTATCACGAACGTGAAGGGGGAGCAGTTCCTGCACCTCCTCCACCTCCACCCCAGCCCCGCCCTCTCGGCTCTTCGTCTGTCTTCCTTAGCTCTCTACGCCTTTTGGTTCCTGCTTTCCGCTGCCATGCGTCGTCGTCTGCAGGCGGACTGCCGTCGCACACGCGCAGGTGGAGTGCGTTTCCTGAGGGGCGGGATTCTGCCGAGCAGCCAGCTCGGAAGCCCAGGAGCCCTCTCGGGCAGGCCCGCGCCGGGGGAGACCCAGTCTTGCCAGACGCCATGGCAGAGAGCAGGCCAAGGGCGGGCCTTCGGGCGGCTACAAGCGAGTGGGGACCTGGTGACTGCAGTGCCAGCAGCAGAGGCGGAGGAGGAGGAGGAGGAGGAGGAGGACGGGTATGTTTTTGGCATCCACGGCCAGTGTCCCACCCGGGTGGGGCAAAACGTTGAGAGGCCGATTGTGACCCCCGATCCCTTCGGAATGGGTCATTTGTGTCTAGCTGTCTCGAATTCTCGCCATTTGAGTCTCAGTGAGAGGCTTGTGAATGTGAGCCGATGTAGCAAAGCGCGCGCTAGAGGTGAAACACCCGCAGCGCCGGCAAATTTAGATTGTGAGGACGAGGAGCAGCGCGGGCGGCAAGTACAGCAGGTGCATCAAATTAGAAACCTCACGGAAATTTCAAATCCCCCGATGACCCTGGGGACCCGCAGAAGCCTCGGGACACCTTAGGAAGCTCAGAAATCGTCGACAAATATGCCCTTAGATTTCCCGTAGCGGGATTTCTTTTCGGATGTACCCACTGTGGGAGGACGGGTTCGCGCGTTGGTAACGCGCAGCCAGGCAAGGCAGAGCCCAGCTGCACTGCGGTGCCAGCAGGTGCGCGGACGCGGAGCGGGCCACTCCGGGAAGGGTACCCGTAGTCGTGGGGGGGCGGTCGGCGAGATGACCCCTCCCCTGTGGGAGGCGGCCGGGGGAAAGGCTTGCGGGAGCCTGCGGAGGATTTGTGTCGGCTTCGCGTAAGAGTGACCCTTCGCCGGAGTGACCTTTTGGTGCGGGCTCACGGGTGCCCCCGGCCCCGGCATTGGCCTGCGCGCTTGGATTTGGCCCACCCTCGGCCCTCGCAAGCCCCGCACTAACAGTCACTCTTGCCTAGGATCACTCTTGCGTGTGGTCGATGTTGGTGGAACTCTGCGGAAGTGGCTCGGAGGCCATGTTCTCGACGCTCAGAGGAGGGACGTGTACCGATGCCGCTACCCTTCCTCGCTTTTGCCTTTTGGGACTTCCTGGAGCGCCCTCGTCGCCACGGCTGGATCCGCCTCGAAGTCCTTGCCAGAGCGCACTCAGGGAGAGTCCGTGGAGTAGCGGTATCGGTACCTTTGGGCTCCTTCGTGCTCGGCGCGGAGTTTTGCACATACGTCGCGTGCATCCCATTTTTCGAAATTGCTCTCTGTGAGTGTCTGCCCGAGCGGAATTGAGCATGAGTATCGAATGTAGTCGGACCGAGGTATAAGATCGAGGTTGGTTCGGGGAGGGTACCCTCGTGTTTTTCGTCTTTGTTGGATGTTCTTGTGTATCCTGGGTAGGCTACCCTTGGCTGTTCTTTGTGTTTGGTCCGCGGAGGGTCTCATCCTCTCGAGGCGCGTCCTTCTGGCCTGTGCCTGGCTGCGAGCGAGAGGGGATCCGAGCGCGAACGCTGCCTCTCCGCTGCTCTCGGCTGCCTCTGTGCTGGCCTGCTGTGCTCTGCCGCTCGCTGCCGCTCTCTGCGGGTCTCCGCTGGTCTCCGCTGCTCTGCGATTCCTTGCTGGCCCCCGATGCTGTGTGCCGCTCTCAGCTGCGCTCTGCCCTCCCCTGCTGCTCAGGCTGCTGAGGCATGCTCGTATGTGCTGCTCTCTGCTTCTCCATGCTGGTCTCTGCTGGGCCTCTCTCCTGCCGTATTCTGCTCCCTGGTGCTCCCTGTCGTTCTGTGTCGCTCTCTATCCTTCTCGTTCCAGGGGTGATCTTGAGCCGAGAACCTGGGAAGCCACCAGCACTGGAAGAGCACATTTGGGCTCCATCATTTGGGATGTCTGGCCCCTCTATTCGGCCCGCTGGACTGGACAAAACCCAGCAGCCAAGCCGACTGGACCGAGTGTCCTGGCAGTTTCCGCTGTGATCAGACCACATCACACCAGAGGATCTATTAACCAAGCATGGCCGCGAGGATTGCTTTGGCTCGGAGAGAAAAATATTCGGCCCGCTGGGGTCCTCGCTTCGGGGCCCGTCGGAGCCTCTTGGGTCGTTCTCGAAAACCTCCAAGGCATGTGCACGTCCTTCGTGGAAGCCATGTAGGAGATCGTGGATTCCTTAGGGACCGCCAGAGGCGCCGGGCCGCCCGGAGAGCTTTTGGAGGGCGGGGGGAACGCCCACATTGCAGACCCGCTTCCAGGCAGAGCTGTGCATACTCTGCATCGGTTGTTTATCCAGGGCTGGGTGATTAACCTCCCGACCGAGCTTGCCCAATCCCGCCCCCTCCGTCCTCCTCCCCCTCCTCATCCTCCTCCTCTTCCTCCACCCCCCCCTCCACCCGTGCCGACAGCACGTGCCCAACCCCCCCAGCGGATTCGAGGGGGGCGATGATTGTCTCATCCAGAGTGCACCACGCCCCCACAAGGGGCAACGTTATAGGTGCAAAGCAGACACTGGGCTGACGGAGGGCAATTGCGAAGTCTTTGGAGCGCACGGCTCGGGAAGGAGCGTGCTCACCCCAACCATGCTCAGAGTCCACAGCCATGTTCGGTTCATTCCGCGGTTTTCGGCTTCAGCAGAGCAAGTTTGTAAGGGCCAGGTAGACCCCGCGGGCCCGCGACGCCTCCACACGGGCGCATGGCACCGGTCCTCCAGGAACACGCGGAGCGATGGACATCCCCCGAGGGGAGGTCCGCGCACCCCGGAAGCCACGCGCTCGGTGAGCGGCAGGGCTCGTCGCTGCGTGTGGGCGAGCTCAAAGATCCCGGCGGCGTGGCGGGCAGCTGGACTGGGCGGATGGTGCGTGAGGGGTGCGTTTTCGACACAGCGGCTTCCGAGGCAACGACTGGGGTAGGGGAAGGTGTCCTGTCTCTGAACGACCTTTCTTTGTTCGATGGCCGTGGCGGCGAGGCTGAGATGACGAGGCAGACTTCCCACAGCTGTCCTCCCTCCCGGCCGTATACAGAGCCTCGCTTTGCGGAGTCGGGCGAGGTCCTTTTAGAGAAGGCAGTCTCTGAGGCGGGCACGCGATCTTTCCCGACTCGTGGGGCTCTGGCGCGGAGGAGAGGCTTCGTCGGCTCGGGGATCCAGCTGAGAATGCCGGGGCCAGTGCAGGGCTGGCGCGAGGTTCTCTGTGCAAGAGGCTACCGCGTCGACGGCGTGATCGGGCGCAGCAGGGCAAACCGCGGTTTCAGCGTCGTCCTCGTGAGGAAGGGGGGGCAGAGCTTCGCCGCCAAAGGGACCAACGAGGCCATCCAGGACGGCATCCTGAACACCACGCTGCAAAGGGAGTACCGCGTCCTGCGCCGCCTGTGCCACCCGGGGGTCGTGCGCGCAGAGTCTTTGATTCATACTGCCAGAGGGCGCGCCATCGTGATGGAGTACTGCCCCGGCAGGGAGCTGGCATCCCTCCTGCCCAGGCACTCAAGGCTCTCCGAGAAAGGGCGCTACAGCGTCCTCGAGGGCGTCCTGGACGCGGTGTCCTATCTCCACGCGCAGTGGGTGGCCCACAGGGACCTCCACGGGCACAACGTCATGGTCGACTGCGGGGAGCCAGGCGCGGGCAGCTCGGTCGACGCGCAAGGGGTCAGGATTGTCGACTTCGGGAGCGCCCAGGACATGGCAGTCGAGGCCCACGGCGGGGTCAGCGAGCTCGCGGACCTCACTTCTGAGATACTTCCACCAGAGGTCTCCCTCGGCCTCGCCTGCCCGTTCGGGTGCGACGTCTTCGCCGCGGGCCTCCTCGCCGCAAGTCTGTGCGCGGGCCAGGTTGTCGTAACCAAGGACGTGGCGAACGAGGGCTTGCTCGAGGGCGCCGGCGATTTCCTGAGGCTGAGCACCGCAGGACAGGCGCACCTGCGCAGCATGCTCGCCCCGCAGCCCGACGACAGGCCAGCAGCGCGCGAGAGCTACGAGCGGCTGCCGCCAGTCGCTGCGTTCTTTGCCGCGTGAGCCGGCCTCGGGCCAGCGGCCTTCCAGCGCCTCCAGCCTGCGGCTCGCCGCCTGCCGCCCTCTCGCGCGGAAGCCAGACGGGCGCAGTGGGCGGCGCCGGCGCCAGGGAATCCCTGCGAGGCGGGGGGCCCTCCTGCACAGGGCGCTCCTCGGCGTGCGACGGCGCGGCGCACTGGGCGTGGAGCGCCCGCTCGACGAGGGCCCCGCCGGGTGGGCGCCTGCCGGCCGGCCACCCGCGCCCGGGGGGCGGCCGTCGCCGCGTGGCCCGCCGCAGTCTCTCGCGCCTGCCGGGCGGCCGCCGGGCTCGGAGGCCGGCCGCGGGCGCGCCGTGCGCCGGGCCCCCGCGCAGGGGCGGGGCCTCGGGGAGCCACGGCAGGCCGCGGCCGCGGCCGCCCCCGACGCGCCCAGCAGTTCGGACCACACTCGCGGGGCCCTCTCGCCCTCTCGCCGGACTCGTTGCGAGAAGAGGTCGCATGTGGTGTCTGAAGGTTCGCCGGCGCTCTTCTTTTTCATTCAGCCTCCCAGCTCTCGCGAAGCCCTGTCTCCACGAGTTGGTTGGCGTGTTATTCTGGAATCTCGGGGCGTTGCTGGGTGGCCGCATAAAAATGCGGAGGCGCTTGATCATGTCCACAAGCGTCTGTCATCTAGGACCGC